TGGGGCACCAAGCCAGGTTTGAAATTCATCTGCTTCCTTTTTTCAGAGCTTTTCACTCTAATCTATTTAATCTGGAATCTAATCCATGACATAACTCCTTCATTTTACATGATTTTATTTGTCCAAATCTTGGCTATATTTGGGACAATATTAGAATGTTCTTTAGGGCTTTAATTTTTTTAGCAATTCATGTGTCACTTTAGAAAGGACATATTCATGAAGTCTATCTCCCACTTAAAATCTGACGACAGATGAGGAACAGAGAAGTTAATGGCTTGTCTGATGTCACACAGCTATTTAGTGGGCATCTGTAAATTACGTCATCATCTTTTTTCTTTCATTCATTAATTCCAACTGGCAGGCTACCTGTTCAGCAATTATATTTCTCCTTTGAAGATTCTTAGTACCAAAAGCACTTTATGATCCAGCAATACTAAACTACTTGTTCAGTATTGATATTTCTTACTTGATGTTTCTTATTTCTGTGTCTACCTACACTGTTCGCTCTTCCAGGAAATTTCCCCACCCCCGTTCCAGTCTCTCTAGCCATACTCTACATTTCCACCTATCAGGAAGCCCTCCCCAGTGACCCCAAAAGGGGTAGGAACATCTCATCCATACCATATTATACTATAACAACCTATTTATGTATATTTCTAACAAGAAGTGAATGTCATTATATCCACCAAGTCTAGCACAGTGATTGACAGAGTGTAGGTGCTTAATAAATTTGTGCTGAATGAATGTATTAGGAAATGTACGAATACAAAATGAATGCATAAATAAGCAGTGTGAACAAGAAGGTTCTACGAGAGGAGCTAAGAAATGATGGTAATTTATTTAGATAGCCAAAAAAATGCAGGTTAAGGACTATATTTGTTTTCCTACATAAATTAGACTACGATTAGGCCTGATGCAGATAAAGTAGTTACCCTACTGTCAGGCTCCGTCTAGAGTTGAAGAGGCTGGAATCCAAAGTGCTCACCAAAACTATCCAGAGCCTAGAACATGACCTGACTGGCAGCAATTGCTCGGTGATTATTAACTGGGTAAACAAACATCCAGAAAATTTAGGATTATCACCAAAAAAAAAAAAATGTTTTAGGGAGTAGACAGCTGAGTCACTAACTCTTAGCATTTGCAGTGATATGAGAGCATCAAAGAAGTCTGAAATCCAGCAATTCCACTCCTAGGTACATATCCAAGAGAAATAAAAACATACATCCACACAAAAGCTTGTGCATAAATATTCATAGCAGTATTATACATAATGGACAAAGGGAGGAGACAACCCAAATGTCTACCAACTGACAAATGGATAAACAAAATGTGGTGTATCTATATCATGAATATTTTGAGGGTTGCCAGATGGGAGGGGGGCCTCCGGGGTGAGTAAAAAAGGGGAGGGGACTAAGAAGTACAAATTAGTAGTTACACAATAGTCATGGGGATGTAAAGTATAGAGTAAGAGACACAGTCAATAATATTGTAACTATGTATGGTGTCGGATGGGTAATAGATTTATTGGGGTGATTACATTGTAAGTTATATAAATCTCTAGTCACTATGTTGTATATTTCAAACTAATATAATGTTGTATGCCTATGATAACTGAAAAAATTTTTAAATTAACAAAAAAAGTCCTTGTCCAACCCATGTCTATAGTTTCAATACCAAATTAGCATTTGTTGAATGTCCAGTATGTCCCAAGCACTCAGTATATGTCATCTTTAAGTTTCATAATAATCCCAGGAAGTGGGTTGTATTACTTCATTGTACAGAAGAAGACATGAGACTGGGCTTAGCTAAATGCTGTGGTGTCACTATGTGGGAACTGATAGACCCAGGTTTAAGGTATATGTGCGATTCACAATATCTGCACTCTATTCACACCTCAGAGTCTACGTGGTGGACAGAAATGCATAAAACCAGTGCAAGAGAGGGAATAAAGAAGAAGACTATGGGATGTCTGATAAAGACAAAAAACCTGATTCATTGTTCCAGCGTGGAGATTCCTGTTTTAAAATCTTGGCCTCAATGGCCCGGGCAATGACAGACTTTTCCTGGATCTGGGACTACTCAAGCTGTCTGCTTGAAGAGGGAGCTTTTAAATCTTGTTCTAGCTGAGAAAGCACTAGGTTATTCCCAGGTCAGTTTCTTTTGAAAAAGATCTATGCTTTTGGCCCCAATTCTAGTTGTCAATCCTATTCTACCTATACTTGGTGCCATCTTAGTCTAAAGCCATATCCGCTTCCTTGTGTTAAAATATAAGCTTGCTTATGCCACACACTGTGTACACAGACATTAGAGGCATCACTCAAAGTTTATTCCCTAGTCTATATCCTGTTATTTTTATGTGAGGATATCTGAGGACACTTTTTTTTTTCTGTTTCTTCTTTCTCTCTGTGTCATATCCTTTCTTATCTTCCTGGGTGCATTTTTATATAGATACTGTCCTCCATTCCCCCATCTCTTTGGAGATTTTGAAAGTAGGCTGGTCAATCTCTTGTTATTTGCTCTTCCATGAAATGCAAGCTCCTTCTTGTTTGCAATACTCTAGAATACTAAGTTCATATCTGATAAATCAAAACCAGCTTTGCTATCACTTGTTATGGCATCTTCCTTTCTCCTCCAAAGTCAGTCACTTTAACTATCAGAAAATAAGAAAAGATTATCTCTACAAATAAGAATAAGCATGTAGACTAGATTATTAAAACACTTGCATAATGACACCCAGAAAAAGAAGCAGAGAGCTCTAGAAGCCGAAGCTAACACAGATTTGCTAGGAAATGCATGCCATCTAACCTTTATTAGATAAGTGTGGCTGGCATGGCATTTTGGGACTTTAACAGAGTATATTACTAAGACTCTCATGATGCTTTTAATGACAAGCCATATTGGGTTAGATAAGAAGATAATTAGATATATTCGTATCTGGCTGGACAATCTTAATAAAAACATTATAACTGAAAGGTACTTAGCAATCTTGTCTATACAAACTTACACAAAGATGCCCAAAGCAAGCATATCAAATTTGGGGGTGACTGCAAGAAACACTGTACAAAAAGTAAGGTTTTTAAATTATCTCAGTAGAGTTAATAATAATACAATATTATTATCAAAATAATTTTAGAATTGGTCATATTCCATATGTCAAGTTATCAAAGGGTTATAAATATATATTTAAGATTGACTATATTACTGTATATTTGTGTTTCCACAGAAATCATGTAACATTTACATTTTTATCACCACCTCCTAAACCCACACTGTCCACTACTGCAGCCACCAGCCACCGGAGCACTTGAAATGTGACTGCTCAGAATTGGAATGTGTTGGAAGTGTAAAAAGCACACCGAACCTTGAAGATGCAATCAAAAAGGATGTCAAATATCTCATTAATAACTTTGACACTGATTACATGTTGAAAGGATAATATTTTGCATATATTAAGTAACAAAAATATATTATTAAAATTAAATTCACTTCTTTTTTTAAATGTGGCTACTAAAAAGTTTAAAATTATCACTGTGGTTTGCATCATATTTCTGTTGACTGCCCTGATTTAGACCAGCATGGCAAATTTCATTGTGCCCTCTATTTATTTTGTATTAGCGACCCAAGAAGCCCTGGATTCCTAGCTTATCCCTCATCACTCAATAGCGCTGGACACCCCAATCAGATCCTGTCTCTTTTCCTCCACGGATCCTGAATCCCTTTCACTGCACCTTGTGGAACGTGCCACGGTCCATCATTAGCCAAAGTCTCCATCCCTCAGCTCTACTCTGGGCATTTCCTTCACCTTTGTGCTGTACCTCGGTGGTTCTCAAACACATCTGTGCATTAGAATCATCTCAGGAGCTCATAGATCAGTGCTCAGGCCCCATTTCAGAATGTTCGATCAGAACCTCTGCTGTGGGGATAAGGCTTCTAAAAATTTTAATTCTAATATGAGACTGAGAACCACTCATTAATCCAGCTTCAATTTTTCACCTATTCCAACGGTGCATCCATGCGAGTGATCATGGCTGGAGAAAAACACACAAGGTCCTGACTGATCTCCTTAATTAAAGACTACTACTCTGAAGTGGATCTTTAAAGCTTTAAACGGATTGTTCAGCAATCCATTTTACCCTTGCCATTCACTATCTCTATCTCCTAGAGAAATATCTTTCTCCATCCTCACTCTCAGCCCATGACCTTGCTTCCTACTTAAGTGAGAAAATAGAAGACATTAGTAAAGACCTTCCATAAGCTCCCTCCACCATATCTACCCTCCTGACTGCGTATGTGCCCATACACACGTTTGCCTCTCCCCACGACTACAGCTCAGGCTGTCCAACAGAACTTTCTGCGGTGATCGAAACGTTCCAAGTTTGGGGGAGGGAGACGGTGGGGGGACGTTCCGAGTTTGTGCTGTCCAGTACCACAGTCACTCATTACATGTGGCTATTCAGCACTTGAAATAAGGCTAGCACAACTGAGGAAGTAAATTTTAAATTTTATTTAATTTCCAATTAATGTAAATGGCCACATGTGGCTAGTGGCTACTGTGCAGGGCAACAGAGCTGTATCGATGGTGTCCCCATCTGAAGCCAGCTCCTCCCCTTGCATTCCCTCTTATCTACTCTGGGACATCGTTTCAGCAATTATTCCCTCTCTGCTGCTTCATCAATTTTCCACTGTTACTGGATCATTCCCCTCAGCATAATGATATATTATAATATCTTCCATTAAGGGGGGAAAAAAAAAACCTCTCATGTATTCCTCGTTAGCTACCACACAATTTCTTTGCCCTTTTAACAGCAAGAGTCCTCAAAAGAATATTTTATAATTGCTGACTTAAATTCCTCTCCCCAACTCTTGCTTGAACCCCTGCCAATCATACTCGGTCTCCGTCACCCCCCGAAGCAGCTTTGCCAATGTCACCAGCTACCTCTCCAGCGCTGTTGATTCCTAACCTCAGCAGCTTGCCAGGGAAAATCTGAAACCGGCCCTCATACGCAGAGAGAAAGGACAGACTGAGGGAAGAGGCAGACTCCTCCAGATTGGCAGGTGGCAGGTTTAATAAGCAAGAGAACGTACAAGGCCTGTCCTGGACAGCCGCAGGATGAGCAAATCTCTGCACCCTCCCTTCAACGTCTTAAAAGTTTATATGTGAAAAATTCAGTCACATATTCAGTCCAAATGGTCTCGGCAACACCTTACTCTCTCAAGGCTGCATCCTTGGAATGGCTGCTAGTGTGGGAACAGTGGGCAGAAGTACATTCCAGAGAGGGGACGACCCTCTGTCTGGGTCCTGCTCTCAGATCAAATAGTGGTCACGTCCTCTCAATTCTAGTGAAATGTTTGTTTCCCGAAGATGGCTCCCTATAAATAGATAATAAGGAAGCTGAAGCCATATAATTGTTTCAAGAATATTGCAGGCGAGACACCTGTGTTTGTGGGAGGATCAAACAGGTGATTTTTGAGTTGGGTTCCAACTCTAGATTTCTAGAAAGATAAACCAACTTTAGACTAGAAAAAAATATCATTACTTCACAAAGTATAGCTGATCTCCACACCCCACTGTTCTCGTGATTCAGGTCTGGTGAGATCACATGATGAAATGAGAATTGAAAGTCAGGGGGACTGAGGCCAAGCTTCGTCAATAAATCGTCACACGACCGCATGCAAGTTACTCCACTTCTCTGGGTGGCTAATCAATGAGTCCTCATCAAATGAAAAGCTTGGCCTAGATCAGCATTACATTCTCTTCAATTCTAAAACTGTAATTCTCAGTTCTTTTTCAACTCATATAAACTAGAAGAGAGTTCAGTCACAGGGTATTATGGGATGGTGGTGGAAGCACCTTGACATGTTTGAACTGAAGGAAAATCGTGTTAAATCAAATCTTCTCTTACTGAAGGAGTTCAGAAATGAGAGAAAAAATCCTCTGGGCCAGCCATCCAATATCTTCTCTTCCAATGTGTGAAAAGTGAGAGAGCTGCAAGCTTGAAAAGTCAGTATGAAACTACGACTTATACAGAGAACTTCTTCTCATTCCTAAGACTGTGCCGTGCTTCGGTTCACGGAGACGAGATCTTACACTGAGTATCACCAAAGACTAATTCTAAAAAGAAGGAAGCCTATGACTTAATGCGCATCCCTGTACTTACCTTGATTGAAAAATACCTCTCATAAATGTTTCGTAGGTGTTGAATGATCGAGACTCATAAGACTTGAGTTACCCCAGCTCAGTTTTTAATAGATTGCTCAACTGTCTTCTAGACACAGCCTGCACATGGCTTTTGGAGTTGTTTTAGAGATTTTTGGTGGAAACAATGTTGATAAAGTATAATTTTTTTAAATAAAATTTCCCAGCAGCTCTCAAGCAGTGAGGCTAAAATGGTATAACTGAGTTTAAAGCAAATCTATGACCTATTTTCTCATGTAGGCTAAAATTAGTACTGAATTTGATATTTTCCAAGACTTAAACCAGGGTTGATTCTAGGGCTCTAGAATTATCTGAGAAACAGATTTGTTTTCACCATTTTTTTCAGTTTATTTCCATCTCATTTCACTCTTCCTTTGCAAAAGGAAATAGGCCTGCCTGGTCCCTTTTTAATTAGTCAGTATCTCTTACCAGGCTTCACAAACTCACCAGCATGAGGTGGGTATCTGGACCCTTGGTCTGGTCCTGCAAGATTTAGATAACAGAATCTGTTTTCACTGATAATTGGAAAACAGAAATAACAACATTCCTTTTCAGACCAGCCCCCACTAACCCTTTTCTTTTTCAGGACTATAATGAGGACTGACAGGGCTGCTTGATACCATTAGAGGTAAATGAATTTTTCAATAAGAACTAACAGAGGAAAACCATGAAAATTCAGATTTATTTATTTATTTTTTGACCCAGGGAATTCTATATCTCCTTATGCCTTTACTCTCTATGTATACTTTACGAGACATTTCAGCAAAGGCTTCTTAAAATTAATCCAGTAGCTGTCTCCTTCAATTCTCCTTCTTAGAACTCTTTACTCATCTTTGTAGAGGTCGTATTTCTTGAGGGTCCCAGTCCCAGAAGATTAAAGGCAGGCAGTGAGCTCAGGTCTTATCCTGAGGCTTATCTTTGTAAACTTCACAATACTTCCTCTTCTACATAGGAAAACTTAGAGAGAAGTAGCCTCAAATGTGAATTGGATTCTGTCCCATTTCTCTCCAAAACTGGGAAGAAGCTGGTCATATACTTACACATTCATATTATAAATATTCAAAGGCTCTAATCCAGTATCTTCCACACAACACACATCTTAGCTCCTACTTTGAACTTTCGGAAGGTTTTTTGTGGCATCTGGTATGCCCTACTTTCAAATGTCTGTTTAGCCTAATATTTCTACTTTCTTCCTTTATTAATTTATCTTCAAGGTCCTGTATGGAAACACCTTTCAGTGGAAAGAACCCATCTGCTTTGACAAAAATGTACACTATACACCTTCATTTCTACAAGAGTCTTAAATAAATCCAGGAGTCCACTAGAACACCTTCAAAGCAGAGCTCCCTAAAGCTTGTGTGATGCAACTCTAGTCCTGGATTTGATATACTAAACAAAACAAAAACAAAAATTGGGAGAGAGAGAGGGAGAGAGAGGGATGCTGCATAAAGAGCTACCTTCTCTAAAATTCAAAATGCATCATAGCTTCTTAAAAGGTTGTAGGCATTCTAAAGTAAAGGTATTTGTTTAACTTCATTTAACTGCTTATTTCTCACTTATTTGATTACGAAACTCCATTCACGTGTGTATGTAGCACTTAGTCATACGCATAGGGCTCTGCTGAACACGATTTCACGGTACATGGTTTGGAAATTGTGCTAGAAGATGTTATCCTTTGTTTTCTCAAAATTATCATTCTAAAGCATCACATACTGAAAAATAACCTTGAGTAATAAATATAACTAGCTTCTTTCTCACACTGTGTTTATAGGGGTATTTAGGGTTCATCTCACAAATGCTCAATCTCCAAGTGACTATTTGGTTCTTAGAAGTAAACACAAAATGTATTTCCCCTTTTGTAACACCGTGTTAACTTCATCTCAGTAGTTTTTAACTCTACTGTTGGAAAACTACCACAGCCACACCTCCAACATTCATCCCTCATTCCCTTCCCGTCAGTCTGCACTCACCTTGCTCAAGTTACTTCCTATGGACTTCTGATCCCCAAATACAAACAAGCTAAAAACAGAATTTATTATTTTCCTCATTAAAAAAATAAAAAATCGTAATTAATGGTGTCCAGGTACAGATCCTCCCTCCCCCAGCCCTTTCTGGCTGAGTTAACCACGATTTTTTTCACAAACTTTTTTACAGATCCCGTCGTCTATGATCATACCTGGAACCTCCGGCACATCCTTCTCCCTGTTCTTCCTGATCCCAGCTTTTTCATCCTCCAAACCTTTCATTGTCCAAACCTTTCATCGTCCAAACCTTTGCCACTGACAGACCTTTCTCTAGAAATGTTAGAGTTTGTCGCGGAAACCTGTTGTGAGTAGCAGCTCACTGTTGCCCCTTCCACCTGACCCACGTTCCACCGATTCTCAAACATTAGCAAGTCCTCCCACTGCTACCGCCCACTCATTGGCCCCCGTCAGGAGCACTCTTAATGTACTTACGTGGTCCTCTCTTAGAACATCCTCCTTCTTGCTCCCCTTTCTCTTCTCTGAAAGTGCTATCAAATCCCCTGAAAAAACAAAACAAAACAAAACAAAAACAAAAACAAAAAAACCTCTTCCTCACATCACTAATTTACCCCTTCCAGTGCTATAGATCTGTAACTCTAATTTTCTTCTGATGAATTTACATACAGATATACATAAATGCTTTAAATTGAATTGTACTTACTGATGTACATTTTTTCACTGTTTCCCCCGCCCCGCTCCCCAGATATTTGTCTCACATAAATATAAGTTCTTTAAAGGGAGCAAATGTAACAGTATTTTTTTTTTTTTTACCCTGTCCACAGTGGAAGTGTAAAAAAATTTGATCGACCCACCAATATTAAACATTTTCATTTCTAAGATTAATATTTACTTTAACCAGATACAAATTCACATGAACAAAAAGAAAATGTTAGCTAAGGGATATATGGCAAAGTTGAGTGTTTGCTTAGGGACAAAAGTTATACACTGGATGACTATGCAATTTTTGTTGGTTTGTGTGTTTGTTTTGTCATTCAGGATGCTGTTTATTTACGAAACGTGTTCACGAATGCTCAACACTTTCCTGCTGGAATGTTCCCATTTATTTTAGGTTTAGGTAACACTCTTCTCTGGCTACAGCCTTCACTTGGATTTTGAAAATTGAATCACTCATCAAAGACACTTGAACCCTCTCCTTAAAGAAGACATGAAAGACAATTCCCAGGTATGTTTCGTGTAGAGATAATGCAATCTAGTTACCTTGGAGTATAACTTCCTTCAGCCTCCATGTCTGCCATCGGTGCTGAGTGTTGGGAAATGGCCCCAGGGCATGGCAACTCCTGGTGAGCTGTGGCTTCCTGCGGCTGCTCTGGGGAGTGACATTCCTTGACCATGTGTGTGGTCCTCCCTTCTGCAGGTGATCAGCCCCATCTCATACTCTCAGCATCCCCAGCAGCCTTTCCAAGCACTGTGCCATCTGCAAACAAGATACATATCTTTTACATACCTGGTGCACACCCTCGGGAGTGGTCAGACTTTGTTTAATTCTTAGAGTATTTGCCTAATTCTACAGTTCCATCCCGTTCTCTCCCCTCTAGACAGCACATTGGAATACAAATGGTTAGCCTTATATAAGGGTAACTGAGTCTGCTTTCATTTAGGTTCTAAAAAAAGTAAATCACTCACAAATTTGGAACTTATTAACAACATATTACTTAGGTACCACCTAAGTAACAGTGGGTTGAGAGTCACTGTGCAAACTGGCAGCCTCTGGCAAGGTCAAGGCAAGATCAAAGTCAGGACTATCAAAATCAATTACAGCTATTGTGAATTTTTGTTCTCTCAAGGAAGAAGCAATTTCTATTATAAACCTGGCACTGTTCCAGGTGCCTTCCCAGTTTGTCTCCACCACCTGATGAGGGGAGCATTTTGAAAAAAGGGTGTGGTAGTTTCCATAACTATTTCCAAAACTGATAAGTAGTTGTCAAGCTTTCTCAAAGCCCGAGTCCTTCCCCATTGTTGCATATGGCTGCCCTACTATCAAAGTTCTCTGGAGAAGCAAATCTTGCTACTGGTTTGATTTTCACACTTCCTACCTCTGGGGTTTTACGTATGGCCTTTTCTTTCTCCTCTCTTGTTCTTCCATAAAATATAGAAATACTTTTTTTTTTTTTTTAAATTAGTCTTTGTGGAAACCTTGGAATTACCATTATTCTTCCAACAAGTTATATAAACCAGCTGCAAATAGTAATCCCTGGCTAAACTGGTTAAACATTTAATTTTGTTATCCCATAGAGTTACTACTAGATTATACTAAATCCACTTGTAAACTATCACTTATTTGAATTTGAAGGCTGTCTTTGAAGTAGTTTACTATAGCGATTGCAGAGGACTAATTTTAAAAATATTGTTTGAAAATACATTTATACTTCATAGATGCTCTTCTGAAGTAAAGACCTAGGAATGAAGCAGTAACTTAAGAAAAAAGGCAAGTAAAATGTCACATCCTCTGTCTACATGCAGGTCTATTAGATGTGTGTACTTAATGTAGATATGTTAAGTGCTAACTATTCATTTTAAAATGTCTTTGTCTATTCATTAGAAGAAGAAAACATCTTATAATATGAAAAACTGCACCTATCATTGGAAGAACGATTTTATTATGAAAAGCTTGATGGCTCTTTAGTGTAGACTTCTGTAGATATTGAAAGCTGCAGTCGAGACAAAGAAATTAATAACATTCTTGTGTCTTAGAGAAGGTAGAGATGAGAGAGAATGAAACTCAAGATCTACTTCTGGTCTACAAAGAGGAATCAGCATGAAGTTCTGGAAGAAAAGACAAATTAAGAAGCATGTGGTTACAGTGTCTGCCATCACAGCTACTATCCAGCAAGGAAGAGCCTCTACAAAAGGTAATTCTTAACACTATTGGAAGTCTGGAATAGCCACAAGATCCAAATATTCAACCAGGAAGCAGCCGAAGAAAGCACTCTGGTTACCTAGGACGCATTTTGGTTTCAAAAGGACTTGAATAAAAGGTCAAAAGAATCCACTCTAAAGGATGTAAGAATAATTTTAGGGGTTCTATTATGGACTGAACTGTGTTCCCCCCAAATCCATGTGTTGAAGTCTAACTTCCATTAGCTCAGAATGTGACTGTATTTGGGGATAGGGCTTTTAAAGAGATCATTAGGGTGGGCCCTAATCCAATCTGACCAGTGTCCCTATAAGAAGACGAGATTAGAACATGCAGAAAGAGATGCCAAATTCTCACTCACAGAGGAAAGACCAAGTAAAGACACAGCACGAGGGTGGCCATTTGCAAGCCAAGGAGAGAGGCCTTAAAGGAATCCAAACCTGGTAGCACCTTGATCTTGGACTTCTACCTTCTGGAACTGTGAGAAAATTAATTGATGTTGCTTAAGCCACTCAGTCTGCAGTATTTTGTTACAGAAGCTCTAGCAAACTAATACAAGTTTAGGTTCTGATAAACTTTTCTAAGGAAAAATGTAACAGAGCTTTTTATTTACCTTCAGAGCTGGACAATCTTGGGAGGAATACTAGCTGCTGGGGATCATGATGCAATGTTAGTTAACATGATGGAGAGAAAGTAAAATCCTTCAATTTCTATTTTTTTCTGTTGAACTGAGTGATCTTCCAACTGAAAAGAGCAGACAAACCATTGGTCACTGGTAATAAAGGTCAAAAAGTAGTGACCAGATTATAGAACAAGTCCTAGTTGATCCATATGAGGGCCTGTTATGGGCTGAATTATGCCCCTCTCCCAGATTCATGTATTGAAATCCTAATCCCTAATCCCTCCAACTATGACTATATTTGGAGACAGGGTCTCTAAAGAGGTAATTAAAATGAGGTCATTAGGGCGGACCCCAATTCAATATGACTGATGTCCTTACAAGAGAAGAGGACACAGACCCACACAGAGAGAAGACCATGCGAAGACACAGGGAGAAGACGATGGCCATCTGCAAATGGAGGAGAGAGGCCTCAGAAGAAATCAACCCTGCTGATGTCTTGATCTTGGACTTCTAGTTGCCAGAACTGTGAGAAAATAAATTTCTATTGTTTAAGCCAGTCAGTCTGTGATACTTTGTTACGGCAGCTCTCGCAAACTAATACAGGGCCCATCTTCTGGCTTAGATGGTTTGAGGTCATATTTGTAGGGCACAGATAACATCCTAAACATAAGATGACAGAGAAGTGGCTCACAGTACTATGCATAAAATAGACTGGAGAGAACTGACGGCGAGCGTGACCAATTTGAGTTGACAAAATCAAATGCAATATTAGGCTGCTCACTGAGATGAGCAAGAGACTACTCCATGCTGCAGTGGTCAGAGCACTCACCAAGTATTGTAAACATCCCAGAACACATTTAGAGGAGAATGGTCAGGGTGTAGAAGGAACCAGAAATCTGCACAACTGTTGAAGGAATCGCCTGTGTTACCTTGCAAAGAGAGGACGCTGGAGGCAGAGGCAGCATGAAAACTGCTGGCAAATATGTGAAGATCTGTGGTGTGGAAAAGACTTATTCTGCTTGGTAATGGGGGTACAACAAGGACATCTGAGTGGGAAGTTAAAGGAGAGGGAATGAGGTAAGAACTTTATAGAAACCAAAACCACCCAAACGCAGAATGCACTGTCTGAAGAGATAGTGAACATCTCACAGGTTAGGTCACTTAAGTGTAGGCTGGGAACGTTATGGAGATTTCAGCCAATGATGGTTGGTCCTTTCTCCAGCATTGTAGGGTTCTAACTAGGATGACCCATTATTTCCTGCTCAGGGGATCTGCAAGATACCTCAGGGCAGAAAACGGCATTAAATGCAGAACAGAGAGAGTGGCTGAGAAGTAAAAGCCATCAGGATCTGAGTGGGGACTAACTGGTGAAAATGTAAGGGCCATCCGTCATTCTGACAGTCAGCTGCCATTCCTCTTCCCCAGGAGGACGTCTTGTCCAGGGAATGTGTGAGGGTGGTGAATTTCAACAGTGGAAATGGAAACTGCTAAATCTGAGAACTTTTATTTGTATAGATTATAGCCTCACTTCTATATTTTTGAATGATGTGCTCAATAAGAGTCCCTTACTCTTAAGAATTGCTTCCTCTCTCCTAGGACTGGCTTCATGAGCATGCAACCTGCACAGTCACACAGGGCCCCGAGCTCAGAAAAGCACCACGGCTGGTTTAACATTCCGCATCCTAAACTTAAAATTCTTAATTTTGGGAAAAAAAGGGCCTGGCCTTTTCATTTTGTAACGGACTCTGCAAAATGTGTAGCTGGCCCTGCTCCTTCTCCATCTCTTACTAGTCATACTCCTCTTGAATTCAGATGCCTTCAATTGCTCATGCAAACCTCGGACAGACAGGAAATTGTGGTGCTGGGTAAATGTTTGGGAAGCAACTGGATTTTGCTGTGACTTAGGCTTTTCCTTGTGGTCTCAACCTCATGTCACTTAACTTGCTGTTCCTTCGCTTTTGTTTTGGGAGAAGTTCCTTAGATTCAGTTTCTTGACTTATAAATGTGAATCATAACAGCAAGGGCATCACTGGCTTGTGTAGGAATTAATGACATAAGGCATCTAAAGAAATACTGCATAATAACAAATATTTGTTACTATTGGTTGAGGACTTTCAAAGGATACTTAGGAGAAAAGTAGTCCACGGTCAGGACTGGATGAGGAGTGGAGGAGGGGAGATGACGAGAACATTTAGGGAAGCGGCAGATAAATGCTGACTTCTCAGGAAGGAAGTCACCATCCCCCTGGCTGAGCCAAGACCCCATGATCATTGTCCCTGGCTTCATTCTCTCCCACTAGCCCCACTGTGGACCGAGGCTTGGTGACCTATGTTCCTTCAGGTCAAGAGGAGGGGATACATCTGGGCAGTTCTAGATTATTTTAGACACACGAAGAACAAGGACGGAGTTTGAGGTCAGAAGTTCTTAGTTACTGGGGGTCGAATAAGAATCATCTCTCAGACCCCTTCCCTCTTAACTTTCACTTCACTCCCATCTCAAATGGATGTTATATCCCTGCCTGAAAAAAAAAACAAACAAACCCTCCTGATCGGTCCCTTCTCTTAAAAAAACAAAACAAAACAACAACAACAAAAAAAACCAAAGCCCAAAACTCAAAACAAAATACAACAAATAAATTTTAAAAAACCCTTCTTTTAAGGAGAAGTAAATGGGTCGCCAGCTTCTTCGCTAGGTCCGGTTCCTTTCTCCTCTGGTTTGTTCTAAAGATAGAAATTCCAGGTTGCTCCTGGCTGCTTTTGACCGAAAAAAAGAAAAAGGAAAAAAAAAAAAGAGGCTTTCGCTCTATTAACAAGCAAAGAAATTCTGTTTCCTTTAAGCTTATCTTGTTCTCATTCTCTTTCAGAAACACCTCCCCCACTTATCCAAGCCAAGACAAAAACAGAAATGCGGCTAAACAC